CCCCGCCATGCAACATGGGATCATTTGCTGATCAGCTGCAGGAAGAGATCCTCTGCGCTCAACCTAGGTGTATTTGGGGTCTGAAAGACCTCAGGGAGGGGGCTAGAGAGGAATTTGGAAGGGCAGAAGGATTGTTTGGGGAGGGGAAAGAGTTAAGGGCAAGCCCCATCTCTTCCTAACACTCCCCCCCTTTTTTTTAAAGCAGGGCTAGGCATCATAATCTGTTGTTTTTCTCACAGGAGCTCTAATGGAGCATCTGGTGGATTTCTTAGGGTGGAGATCTTTGGGCCAGCAGATCTAAAGGAAGGTCTGGAAGCGACTTGGCCTAATCAGAGGGTGTCTGCAGTCTCTGACAGGCACCTTGCCCATAAGGCATCTTCTATGCCAAATTGGGTTAGCTTTGTAGTGAGTCAGACCATCTCCCGTAAATTATCTGTAAAGAAGGGAAATCTTGACTTCTAGTCATTTCATGGACATGCCCGCGCAGTTTTCCTGGCACCGAAACAGAAGAGGTTACCATGGCAAGTCTTTTGACTTCTCAGTCTAATCAGCAGCCCTGAGATTTCCTAGTGGTCTCCCATCCAAGGACTAACGAGGTCTGATACTGCTTCGCTTTTTGAGATCAATCAAAGTTGCTTAGGTGCTGTCACCTAGTTGGGTATAACCATCAACCCCGACTGAGAGGACTTCTGTTGGCAAAATGGACTTTTTCACCTTGCCATCAGAACCAGCTCGGCCCCCCTTCCACGGGCCAGGCTCACTGCTCAAATGAACCCCAACGCCCTTTGCAGAGGGAGACAGAAAAATGGGTGGGGGTCCAAAGAAACAATTTCCAACCTGTGAGACGCAACCTAGGAACTCCTGCAAAACGGATCGATATCTTAGAAAGGTCACTGCAGAGTTGATCTGGAGACCTGTCTGTTGCAGCTGTTTGGACTATGAAAAGTTTGTTAAGATAAGGCTTTGGGGTCTCCCACTGAGCAGAACAAGCATTGCAACAGAGCTTCCGGGCATGTTACAGCTTAAAGGCCTTCTCCTTACAATCCCCAAATTATTAGCTGCATTCCTGGCTGTAAACCACCCCTCCCTTCTACCTGAGACTTTAGCAGAATCAACAGGAAAGGTCCTGAGGTTTAAGGGAGGTGGGCTGACACTTCCAGTGGCAACTGGCTGTGGCCATATGCATGCTGAACAATGCTACCCAAACAGGGGGTGCCTCTTAACCCTGCAAAACTAGCCCATAACTTTCTTTCAGCATTGTGATCTTGGCAAGTTTCAAACAGAAATCAGGTCTGGATGTGACTTCAGCCTTTTCTTAGCTTTGCAAGGAACATTTCTTTAAATCTGGCAGCCTTAAATGTGTTGTGCATGATTTGCAGACCTGGTGGCTGGCAGGCCAGGCACGAGGACTTTAAAGACAGGGATTCCCACCTCTTGTTGAGTCCCAAGGCAAAGGTGTTTAGTGAAGGTTTCACAACCCTGTATAGGAGATCCTTGTTCGGTGGCAAGGCTGTTACTCCTGCCTTCTCTGCAGCTAGCCAGTTGAATTAGGATTCCAACCCCAAACTTATTGGGCCACTGGAGGGCCCCAACCGGAGAACAAGGATCCTCACACTGGATCACTTCTAGGGGGAGAGAATTAGTTCTCCTGAACCAAACATAAAATAGGGCCATGCCACCAGCCTGCTCAACCAGTCTGAGCAATCCCCGTTCAACATCTAAAATGGGAGACGCCAAAGCATCCTACTTACCGAAGGACAGGACGAAAAAGAATGGCAGCCAGCAGAGAATGAAGACCCCCACCACGATGGCAAGCGTCTTGGCTGCCTTCTTCTCCCTGGAGAACTTCAGAAGGCGGACAGAGAGCGAGCTTCTGAAGGTGTGTCCTTTGCTCTTGGTGCTGGCCAGCGAGTCCTCGAGGACACTCCGGCAATGGATCCTGAGCACCACCTCCATGGACTTGTTCCGTTCTTTCTTGACCCCAGCCTCCAAACTCTTGGTGGTCCTCCTGGCTACCACATAGATGTTGAAGTACATCACCAGTATGACCAGGAGGGGCAAGTAGAAGGAAAAAAGAGATGAGAAGATGGCATAGCCAGGTTCTTCCGTGATGCTGCAGAACTCCTCACTTTCAGGGGGTTCCTCTTTCCAACCCAAGAGCGGCCCGATCGATATGACCATGGAGGAGAGCCAGACCACCCCCAAGATAATCACGGCCTTCTTCTCTGTCATAATGGTGGGGTACTTGAGGGAATATTTTACCCCGATGTATCTATCCACCGAGATGATGCACAGGCTCATGATGGAAGCAGTGCAGCAGAGGACGTCCACCGCTGCCCAGATGTCACAGAAGATGCGGCCAAAGACCCAGAGGTCCAGGACTTCCAAGGTGGCCGAGAAGGGCAAGACGGTGGTGCTGAGGAGCAAGTCCGCAATGGCCAGGTTGATGATGAAGTAGTTGGTCACGGTCCTCAAGTGACGGTTGCAGGCCACAGACAGTATGACCAAGATGTTGCCCACAATAGCCAAGAGGATGAAGATGGCGAGGAAGACTCCGACGCCCACCGACTGCAGGGTCAGTCTCAGAGCTAAGGAGGAACTGCTGTTGGAATGAACATCTTCTCTGGACAAGGACCAGTTAACTCCGCCGGCTTCTCCCGTGTGGTTCCCATTCAAGCTTGTATTAATCCGGTCAGAGAAAGTCATTCTTTTTCAAGAAGGCTCAATCTCCATTGGGGATGGACTCAGCAGTGCAGCAGGGAGAGGGCAGCAAAGGCATGGTCTCTCCCATGCCCCCTACCACATCCTAAAAGGAATGACGACCCTTGCTGAAAAGTTGAAGAACCCCCTCCCCTCCCCTCCCCTCCCC